GGGGGCGGGGACAGAACAATTAGGAAACATGGAGGAGCTCTTCCCTCTTGTCTCCAATCCCGCTGCTTGAACCTCGGTGGCTGGTAAAGCTTCCGCCGGAGCCTTCACTGAGCAATAGGTAAAGAACCGGCGGCACTCGCAGGGGATCCGTCCATCCAGAACTTTATTTGTAAAAAGACAACAGCAGCAAACAAACCATTGCTGACATGTTTCAGCCCCCAGGCTGGGCCACACAGGATGCTGATGTAGGATGAGAGTCTACAATCCTCCAGTAGGAAGGTCCTGAGTCTGGGGGGCCACTGCTTCTCCTGCAAGCACTTCCCTTTCTGTGTGCATGCTGGGCTGATCACATGATCCTGTCTTAGTTTGGGGGGAGTGTAACCCCAGCACACAGGTCACCCCAGCAACCACCCCACCCACCTCAACACCCCAAAAAATGACCAAACTTAATGGAGGGAGCTGCTCATAATGGGCACAGGGATGGTGGGAGCCCCTCATAATGGGCCTTCCTTTATTTCATCCCTTGTCTCCGTTACCCCCCCTAGTTCCCCATGACCAGATCTCACTCGTGGTTCTGCACCCCTCGCGCTCGGCCCTCCACCTCTGCTGTGGGTATTGCAGAAGTTCCCTGTTGGATATTTTGGCGGTTGTGCTGTGGGCGGAGTCACATAAATTGGAGCCGCCCTCTTTGTTAGTTATGGAAGACGGGTTTGTGATATATACGCTGGACGTTGTAGGTGTTCAGGCCCGGGGCATCGAAGCCCGGGGACAGGCCCTGTGTGTTGTAGGGGTAGAAGTTGAAGAGTTGGCGGTCGTGCGTTTCCAGGGAGACGGAGGCGGATCCCAGCCGCAGGACGCACGGGAACTCCCTGTCGAAGACGACCTGCAGGATGCGTTCCTCTAAGAAATGAAGGCGGATCGTTCTGTAAATCTCCGGAATCAGTTCCTGAATGTGAGGACCGAACTGCTGCATCTCCAGCACGCCGCTGTGCCCCACCTTAATCTCGTAAAACGTTAGGTTCGCGTACGTATACAATCCCAGGTAAGGGGTGGGGTTGGGGGTGGGGTTAAGACGTTTCTCCGCCTCTCTGAAGGCCTTTTCCATAGCAGGAATGAGGATGTGATATGTCTGGGACACAATGTCTTCCTCCTGAGGCCGCGTCCCCGACATCAGCACGATGAAACTCAGGCGCAGTTTGGGAACTACGGAGAAGGTTGCGGAGTATCCATCGAGGTCGCCATCTTTGCGGACAATGTCGTAGCCGAGCTCCTCGTTCACCTCCCACGGGGTTCCCGTCTTGTTGGCAAAATAATCCGTGGAACATTTGAAGAGCGGCGTCAGCATGGTCTTCAGCGTGTCCGCCTCCAGGATACGGCGGTGAAATGTCCCCAGGAGCGCCATAGCCAGCTTAGCCATGTCTGCCGCCGTGGAGTACATCTGCCCCGATGGGCGATACCAGCCCAGATCGTAGAGTGGGGCCACCTGCCCGTTGCTGTAGAAGCCCACCGCCATCTGGGACACGATTGGAGGTGTTAGGTCAAAGCCCGTGTCCTCCATGTTGATGCGGTCCAGGATGTTGTCTGACACCCAGCGCTGGTAATCCCCTTCAGATGTCTGCTCAGCCAGGACATGCGCCAACAGGGAGAAGGCCAGGTTACTGTAGTGGCACCTGAAACGCCGAGACAACGAGAAGGTTACCAGGAAATGTCCCCCGTCAGCCTTGGTGTCTTCTCCACATAACACATGGCATGCTACTCTCCACACTCAGACTCCCTTCCAATGCCCAACGCGTTCCTCTCTCTGACTCCCAGAAGTGGTCCTAGTTCCAGGACTCACCGTGAGTCCCAGATCTAGCACTGCCCCTGGACCAGCCCTGGACGGGGACCTCATGCCAGATAACAGCCAATCTGACGGGTTCTCCAAGGATGACGACAACAATGGGCGCTGATACAAGTTGGGTCACTCCCATGGCCGTCTTTAATATTGATTGGACCCTGGGTAAACATTTTTTTGGGCTTTCCCCCGCCCCTACCCACCACGCCCTGGCCCATACCATGCGACAGGAGCAGATAGGAGAAGACAGCTCAAAGGGAGACGTGACCCCCAAGTAAGAGGTGACCCCAGCATGAGACATCACAAGGTCACACAGCGTGCGGCAGGGGCAGAACAACAGTATGCGATGCGTATTGCATATTAAACAGAACGGTACCCATGTGTATCTTTCGCTGGCTCAAGGGGCAGCTGCTTTGGGCCCGGGGCAACTGCCCCTTTTGCCCTGCGTTAAAGACGGTCCTGGTCCCTCCTGGTCATGTGACCATACAGGTGGTCAAGTCCACCTGTATGGTCACATGACAGTCCCAGTGGATGTTACTTGTCCCTCCGCCCCTCCAGTCCATTGATCGCTCACCTTGTTCCCGGATCTGCTACTAAGACGTCATCTCGTAACAGGCGGATGGCGTCCTGCGTGCTGCCCTTCCAGAGGAGGTTGGTGGAGCGCAGCCGGCGGGGGAGACCTGCGGAGAACCAGACACATTACAGATCAGGAGAGCTGAAGCCAATGCGCCGTCACATGTTCCTGGCGTGTGCATGCCGAGGAGCTATGTAGGCCTGGAAATCAGGACCGGTCCTAATGAGGAATGCTATCTCGGCTCTGACCACCTACTGCCACCCAGGCCCGGCACTACCGCAAGGCGAGTCAGGCGGCCGCCTGAGGGCGCTGCAGGGTGAGGGCGGAAAAAACAGGGCATTGTGACAAGTACTTGTACAAATGCCCCGATGTTTGCGCTATGTTTTGGGGTTTTTTTTCACTTACCTTCGGCGCAGGAGAGCAGCGGTGAGTCAGCGCTGGTCCGGTGGGAGGAGCTCCAGGTGGAATCCGACACGCGGCGGCACCTCTGGCAGTCGCCGGCCAGCTAAATTAGGACCCCACCTGGAGCTCCTCCCACCGGACCAGCGCTGACTCGCCGCTGCTCTCCCGCGCCGAAGGTAAGTGAAAAAAACCCCCAAAACATAGCGCAAACATCGGGGCATTTTGGCAAGTACAAGTGGAGGGGCAGGGGGCAAGATGCACCTTGCCTAGAATCCTAGCACCGGCCCTGCTGCCCCCCCCCCCCCCCCCCCCCCCCCTCTCCCCTTC